TGTTGGAACTTATCGCTTGATTTTAGACACTGGAGCTCATTTAGATTTGTATCAAACTCTTTATGTACCCTCTGTTTCTCGTAATTTGATTTCTTTGTCTAAGTTGGATTCAACAGGATATTGCTTTAAGTTTAATGATGGGTGTTTTAGTTTGTACAAACAAAATTGTGTTATTGGTTCTGGTATTTTATGTGATGGTTTGTACAAATTAAAACTTGATAATCTTTTTGCTGAAACTCTCTTGATAATGCATCATAATGTTGGAACTAAACGTGGTTTAGTGAATGAAAATTCAGCTTACTTGTGGCATAAACGTTTGGGTCATATATCCAAAGAAAGATTGACAAGATTGGTAAAGAATGAAATTTTACCAAACTTGGACTTTTCTGATTATGGTATTTTTGTGAATTGTATAAAGGGAAAACAAACAAAACACACAAAGAAGGGAGCCACAAGAAGCACTAAGCTCCTTGAAATAATACACACCGATATTTGTGGGCCTTTTGATGTTCCATCTTTTGGTGGAGAAAAGTATTTTATCACCTTTATTGATGATTTTTCACGTTACAGATATGTCTATTTATTGTATGAAAAATTTCAATCAGTAGATGCCTTAGAGGTGTTTATTACTGAGGTTGAAAGGCAATTAGACACAAAAGTAAAAATAATTAGATCCGATAGAGGTGGTGAATATTATGGAAAATATGATGAAAGTGGACAATGTCCAGGCCCATTTGCTAAATTTCTTGAAAAGCATGGCATATGTGCTCAATACACTATGCCAGGTACACCACAACAAAATGGTGTAGCAGAAAGGCGTAATCGTACTTTATTGGAAATGGTTAGGAGTATGATATGTAATTCATCTTTACCCATTTCATTGTGGCTGTATGCCTTAAAAACTGCCATGTATTTGTTAAACAGGGTTCCTAGTAAGGCAGTTCCTAAGACTCCTTTTGAGTTATGGACTGGTAGGAAACCTAGTTTAAGGCACCTGCATGTTTGGGGTTGCTTGGCAGAAGTAAGGATTTATAATCCACATGAAAAGAAATTGGATTCAAGAACAACCAGTGGTTTTTTCATTGGTTATCCAGAAAAGTCTAAAGGGTATAGATTTTATTGTCCTAGTCATAGTACAAGAATTGTTGAAACTGGAAATGCTAGATTCATTGAGAATGGTGAAATCAGTGGGAGTTTGGAACCACGAAAAGTGGAACTTCAAGAAGTTAGGGTGGAGATCCCTTTACCTGTAACTTCTTGTAAAGTTGTTGCTCCTCCTATTGTTGAACAGTTAAACAATAATCAAGAACAACAACCTAATGACCAAACAACTCACAATGAAGACAACATCAATGAATCTGTTGTAGATGAACCACAAGTAGAAGAATTAAGAAGGTCCCAAAGACCAAGAAGATCTGCTATTTTTGATGATTATTTGGTTTATCTACATGAAGAAGATTTTGGTGAAGGAATCGATAAAGATCCAGTTTCGTATTCACAAGCCATTAACAGTGCTAATTCTACGAAATGGTTAGATGCCATGAACGATGAGTTAAAATCCATGAAACATAATGAAGTTTGGGATCTTGTTGAATTGCCCAAGAACTGTAAAAGAGTTGGGTGTAAATGGGTTTTTAAGACCAAACGCGACTCACTTGGCAATATTGAACGATATAAGGCCAGACTTGTTGCTAAAGGTTTTACTCAGAAAAGTGGTATTGACTACAAAGAGACTTTTTCACCAGGTCTCTAGAAAAGACTCATTAAGAATTATTATGGCTTTGGTTGCTCATTATGATTTGGAGTTACACCAAATGGATGTGAAAACTGCCTTTCTAAATGGGAATTTAGAAGAAGTGGTGTATATGAATCAACCTGAGGGTTTTTCCATTAAAGGAAAGGAACACATGGTGTGTAAACTTAAGAAATCAATATACATACTTAAACAAGCTTCCCGCCAATGGTATTTCAAGTTCAATGATACCATTACTTCTTTTGGATTTAAAGAAATCATTGTTGATCGATGTATATATATGAAGATCAGTGGGAGCAAGTTTATAATTTTGATTCTGTATGTTGATGATATTTTTCTTGCTACTAATGATCTTGGCTTGTTATATGAGACCAAGAAGTTTCTCTCCAAGAACTTTGAAATGAAAGATATGGGTGAGGCAACCTATGTGATCGGGATAGAAATGTTCCGGGATAGATCACAATGATTGTTAGGATTGTCTCAGAAAGCATATATTAATAGAGTTTTGGAGAGATTCAAAATGGAAATGTGCTCATCAAGTGTCGCTCCAATTCAGAAAGGTGATAAGTTTAGCCTTATGCAATCTACGAATAATGAATTGGAACGCAAGCAAATGGAAGAAATTCCGAATGCATCAGTCGTTGGGAGCTTAATGTATGCTCAGACTTGTACCAGGCCAGACATCAGTTTTGTTGTTGGAATGCTAGGTCGGTATCAAAGTAATCCGGGAATGGATCATTGGAAAGCTGCAAAGAAAGTGTTGAGATACTTGCAGGGAACGAAAGATCATATGCTCACTTATCGAAGATCAGATGATCTTGAAGTGATTGGTTATTCAGATGCAGACTTTGCTGGTTGTATCGACTCAAGAAAATCAACATCCGGCTATCTATTTCTTCTAGCTGGGGGAGCAATCTCATGGAAGAGTGCGAAGCAATCTGATATTGCTACGTCCACTATGGAAGCAGAGTTTGTGGCTTGTTATGAGGCTTCCATTCAAGGGAATTGGCTGCGAAACTTTATTTCAGGACTTGGCATAGTCGATAGTATTGTCAGGCCGCTGAAAATTTATTGTGATAATTCTGCAGCAGTCTTCTTTTCAAAGAACGACAAGTATTCTAAGGGAGCAAAACATATGAGTTTGAAATACCTTGTCATTAAAGAAGACGTTCAAAAACAAAATGTGTCAATTGTACATATTAGTACGAAACTCATGGTTGCGGATCCGTTGACTAAGGGATTGCCTCCTAAGACATTTATTGAGCATGTCGAAAGGATGGGCATTACCAAAGGTCTTAATGTTTAGTTTATGAATTTGATGTATGACACCTTATGTATGTATTATTTCTGACATTTATCGATATCCTGTTTTCTTATTGATTGTGTATACATGAATGTTTTCAGGATTTAATCTCTAATGACTTTTCATTTATAGATCATTTTAAGTAGACAATTAATATTGTGGTACTTTGAAGGAATCATGTTATTGAATGATATGAAACCGCCATGACTCATATTAGTCTATACTTAATAATGATGTGATGATATTACCAATGTATGAGAAATTTATCCTTATAGTATATATGTATTATGAATTTATTTAAACCGTTATGAATAATTCTGCCACATGGCCAAGTGGGAGAATGTAAGAAATATATGGCCTATGTGTCATATATTAAATTGAGTATAAGGTTTAAATAATATTAATACTATTATGAGGATTATTGGTTATGGAAAAGTACTTAATATGACCATGTAGTTAATTAACTAACACCCATGTCTTTAATCATGTTGATGGAACATGTGTGGGTGGGTAGTTTTATTAACTACCGGATAGTTGCTCCTCTCTCTTCCTATAAAGAAACCTAAGCACATAATTTCTCTACACCATCAATTAACTTCGAAATGAAAAGGGCTTGGTTTTAAAGAAGCATTAGAGAGAGAAAGCAATCTTCTCCAAAGTCTCAATTCTCTAAGGGTTCATAGCATGGCTCAAGGTATGGTCTCAAACATCTTATATTTGTGATTATCATGAAGTTCTACGATCCATGTCTTCTAATTAATCATAGAGGAATTGTGATTATGTTTACAATTGCCTCCTCCACCTCCAGCTAACCCCACGGTCGAACTCGCCGCCGTCGCCACTGAGAGCGTCTCCATCGCGGCGAAAGTCATCGTCTCCAGACCCCTGACCAAAGGTATTCATATATCTTTTCAACACTCAAATCTTTTCTCTCACTCGCTTTTCTTCTCATGTCTTCTTCTTCCTCCCACTCTCTTCTTTACTTTGCACGAATTTATTGTAAAACCCCTAATTTGTATGTTTATTGGCTTTGATTTTTTGCCCTACTTTGTATATGAATCTAACTTGCCCTAACTTTTCTCTTTAACTTCACTTCCTCTTTCATTCTGCACAATTAATATTGTATTTTTTTCTCTAACTTTATTTTAAGTGTGTGATTTCGCCCTAATTTTTCCTTCAATGACTTCCGTCAATCCTGCTCATTTTTGTTATTACAGGGGATTTTTATTTTGTTTATACTCCAACAGTTACTTCCTATTCTGTATATATTCGTGTGACATTATTAGTTGAGTGTAACAAACTCATATGATTTAATTAATTCAAATAAAAATGGATTTTTTTGCAAAGTATGAATCAAGGTCAAAAAAGAGACTGACCTCATATATAGTTTGTGTAGCCTAGTTACAGTGGATGATGTCCGGCTAGTGGCGGGTGGCGGAACTAATGCTTGTTGGTGTGTTGGTGGTCAAACTAGTGTTGACTAAAAACTAGCAATGATGTTTTCAAAACACTTTTTAGAAAAAAAACACCACAGCATGATGTTTTTATAGAAAAACACAACAAGAAAAACACATTGATTACCAAACACACCTAAGCTTGTGGGTCCTGTTTTTCAGTGCAAAACATATTAAAAGTCTGGAAACAAACAGCCCGACAACTATGAACAATGGATACTGATATCAGTGTTTTAAATATCAGCGATATATCAGATATTATCGGCGATACATCGGATTTTCCAGCTTGCCGATAGGATAACATCAATCTGTAGTCGGTTATCGTTTTAACAAATTATCGGCGATAAATCGTCGATAACGGAGAATATCGCCCGATAATGTGCGTTTTTTTATCGGGTTTATCGGCTGTGGTTTGAGTTAGGATGTTGAGAATTGATACCCGACCCGACCCGTTTTCACAATAAAATGGAAACTCAAGAGTCAAAACCCCTTCGTGAATCCAGCCACTTCAATCCCTAAATCTTCATCGCCTCTTCGTCGCCTCTTCCGCTCTTCGTCGACTCTTCGTCAGCGAATCTCCAGCGAATCTCCAGCCTCGAGTTCGTGAATTTCTTCGTCACCTCGACTTCGTGAATCTGCAGCGAACCTCGTCGTCGAACTCCCGCTAACCTCGTCGTCAAACTCCAGCAAACCTCACCGTCGAAATCTCGTCGTCGAACTCCAGCGAACCTCGCCGTCGAACTCCAGCAAACCTCGCCGTCGAAATCTCGTTGTCGAACTCCAGCGAACCTCGCCGTCGAACTCCAGTAGGATTGATGTATCATCTCTTCTTCGTTTCTTCTCTTCTCTCCTTTGTATTTTGGTTTTATTGTATTTTATAGCTGATGTTTATATTTTCCCTTAAGTTGATTGGGTATTGTTCTTTAAATAGATATTATTACCCGTGACCGTGAGTCTGTGACTTCTGAGACTTGTATTACTGACTATTAGACTATTATGTTGTGAGACTTGTATAAGAAATTTGTTAAAGTTAACTGTAACTAATTTTTTTTTAACTGCAACTAGTTTATAGAGACTTGTTGTGACTTGTGATACTGTATTACTAATTTGAGTTAGGCTGCCGTTCTCAATATAAGTTTTTTTAACAGTAATTAATTTTTAATCAATATAAGTTTTTTCACTGCAATTAGTGTATAGAAAATTTATAATTAATTTTAAGAAAATACTTGTGTGTATAAACAAATTTAACTGTAATTACAATTAAATTTGAGCAATTAGTTTTAACTGCAACTAATTTTTCAATGCAACTACTTAGCTAATTATAAGTTTTACAACTTGAATCTGCAGTTAGTTTACAATTGCTATTTTAATTTGTCTTCCTCTGTTCCTCACTTCATTCCTTGAAAACTTGATGTGATTTTGATCTCAAGTCTGCAACAAAATAGACCTGACTGATGTTAGGCATAAAATTTTATAACGTGCAAAATAAATAAAATAAATATACAATTGTGTTTGCTATTTTATTTTCAAACTTGTGTTCACGGTTCACTATCTCTTAAATGTTGACAGGACAATGTCTTCTGAAGGCCAAGCGTCTAATAAACTTGTGTTTTCTATTTCATTTTGGTATGTTTATATTTCATTAAGCATGGTTAGATTTACATTTTTAGTTATTATATTATATATATACCATCTACTTATCACTCCGATAATTACTACTTATCCCCGATAACCGATACTTAAAACCTTGACTGATATTACCACATTTGTAACTGTTTGCTTCTTATGGACTTGAATATGTATGAATAAGATGTCCTAACACTTTATCCATGTCTACTAGAAATAATTTTGACTCGGTTATTTACTGGCGAATTTGAGAGCATGGTGAAGTGGTTATCAAAAGGCTTCATGATCTGTAGGAATCTGCTGCAGCTGATAAAAATGAATACCTACACTAAATGCTGACACACATTTTACATCTATTTTTTTTAGAAAGTAGATAGAGTATTTTCGCAAGATCCCAGCAAATGGGATCAAAGAAGCAGGATAATAGAAGGATGCTTCAACCCCTGGGAGTTGTGTGGTCTGGTTATAAATTGTGCTGAAATAAGATCAAGTTGGGAATGTTAATTGAGGAAGCCTTCAGAGCTGAGACAAAAATCATCAAACACTGTATGTACTTATTTATATGTATTTTTCGCTTCCTTTTCCACATCTTTTTTGTCTTTGTTCCCACATTCAGCTGTATTGGGGAAAATCGTCTCAACTACATTGGCAACCTTCATGGCTTTCTTTGACATCTCAATCCAAGTTCTTCTATTGTGACCCTCATCTTAGTTGCATTCCCAATAATAATTCTTTTACTCTTGGCTCATTCATCTGTCTTCATTGCACATTTTTAAACCACCTTGAGCAAGCCTAAGTTGTCTAAACCTCAATTCATTGATATCTAAAACACAAATAATTATGTATTGTAAATCTAATAGTATATAAACTATGAAATATGTAGTGTTATAAATGACTGCATATCAGCGTGCGCCTCTTGGTGTTTTAAAAAATTTCCATGTGCAGCCACATCAAGTAAATATAAAGGTTATATTTAGTTTCTCAGAACAAATGCATTTATGGGTTGATCAATGATGTAGGACCCAGATCCAAATCATTTCGCTTTTTATTAGTGAATTGGTCATTTGATTATTAACTCGATATTTGTTATTACTTGTTACTCTTGGTGTCAAATTTTTTTATTTTGTGAATTTTGACTTTGGCTTATTTCCCTTGACTTATGGGGGGTCATGGATGCTCATAGAACTGATAATACTATGTATAAGGTTGTGTTTTCTATTTATACATTTTTTATATCTTAATATTCACAAGAGCAGTGAATCCTTAGGTTATACTGTATATATGCTATATTGTACCCTTGTATCATGTTTTATGTGATAGATATTAGAATCATAATTATGCTGGAAAGTCAAAGCAACGTGTTTCCTACATATGCTTAGGGTGATGTGTTTCATGCGGTGTAAATGAATATCTGGCAAAGAAATTAGTTAGAATAGTGTTTTGTTAAATTTCCATGCCGAAGGAACTATACATTAGTTATTTTTTTTGGAGGGTGTGTATAGAGTACAGGAGTTTCTTTTAATTATTTCTTATTTTCTCTGTGAAGCTTGCTTTCTGTGTGTATTACAACACTTCTTTATGAATATAGATTCTCTTTGTACCAATATTTTGCATCCATCTTCCTCATCCATTCAAAGAGAATAAAAGGATGGAAGAGGAAGATTTTGGTATCTAATTGCTGTGCTTGTGTCCCCTAAATGAAAACTGAAAAATAAAAAATGGCAGAGAAGAAAACAAGAAATTGGTAATGATACCACACTGTGCTCATGCCTACAGGATAAATAACCTTTTATACGAAGTGTGCATCTTTATATCGAATACTTTCCTATTTCTGCAGAGATCATGCCGTATAGCCTCCTTTTTGAACAATAGCATAGGTGATGGATATAAAGGATTCAATTGAGGATATCCCAGTGCAAGATCCTCCAAGTGACGAGTTCTCTGCTGTTGATCTCACCTGGACCAAATATGCTGCTACAGAGCATAATGTTGATGATGTAGCTCTTATTCCTTATGACCGAATTGATGCTTTCATAAGTGGGGAGTGTTCCAATGTTGAGTGTCCAACTCGTTTTCACATTGAGAGAGGAAGGAAAAGAGACAAGGGAAGCCCAAGGGAATATAAAAGCGATGAATATCTTGTATATAGGCTGTGAGTCCTCGATCTTCTTTCGTTTTTCTTTTTAATGCTTTTCATTTGTAAATATTTTTCTTTCTTATGGAATATAAAAGCGATGAATATCTTGTTTATAGGCTGTGAGTCCTCGATCTTCTTTAGTTTTTCTTTTTACTGCTTTTTATTTGTAAATATTTTTCTTTCTTATGGAATATACTCCTTTTCTCTTTAGTTATTGGTGTTCGTTCGGACCTGAAAATTATGGAGAGGGAGGTTCTATATTGCCTAGCAGAAGGTATAGGCTCAACACAAGAAATCGTGCCGCTCGACCGCAGTCAATGCGTGGTTGCAATTGCCATTTTGCAGTGAAGCAGTTATATCATCGCCCTTCGCTTGCACTTATTATATATCATGAAAGGCGTCATGTGAACAAGTCTGGAGTTATATGCCATGGCCCTCTTGATAGAGATGCTATTGGCCCAGGTGCGAAGAAAATTCCTTATGTGTGCAGTGAAATCCAACAGCAGACCATGTCCGCTCATATTACCTTGGGCATCCTGAGGAAAATGTTATTGCTAGACGTGCAACACCTAGAAGGAATCCAGCGTTACTGTGGTTCAAATCCTCAAGTCAGTAGTCTTGCTTCTCAATATGTTCAAAAGCTGGGAATGATCATTAAAAGGTCTACTCATGAACTGGATCTGGATGACCAAGCCAGCATTCGTTTGTGGGTGGAAAAGAACAAGAAATCTGTGTTCTTTTACCAGGATTCTTCAGAGTCTGATCCGTTCATTTTAGGAATTCAAACTGAATGGCAGTTGCAACAGATGATACGATTTAGTCATCATGGACTTTTAGCATGTGACTCGTCATTTGGGATAAGCAAACTCAAGGTATTTACCCAGCATCAAGTTTTAGTGAACGGTATTACTACCATTGATTAGCTACACCCCTGCCATTTACCCAGCTTCAATTTGATAGCTTGCCAAATATCTAACAAGTAATTCATCCTAGCCATGCCATCAGTTACTCTCCTGTCTGCAATTAACAACTTAATTAAAGTTTTAATGAGCTCCCTGGTTATTTTTTGTTGGTCAATGAACTCCCTGGATTTCATTTATGCTGGAGTGAATTCTGTTTCTGCATGATATATGTATGAATTGCATTAGATAGACAATGCTGCTTTTGTTGACACTTTGACGGTTATTATACCATCTTAAATGTTTTCATATTTTCCCTGCAGTATCCATTGTACACACTCCTGGCATTTGACTCGAGGCAGCATGCTCTTCCTGTTGCATGGGTTATAACTCGGACCATTACCAAGCATGATGTATGTAAATGGATGAAAGCGCTTGCGGATAGAGTTCGTGCTGTAGAATCATCTTGGAGAATCAATGGCTTCATCATCGATGATCCAGCTTTAGAGCTTGATCCCATCAGGTACAAGATCCTTTACTATTTTAATATTGTTCTTTGCAGTATTTTTGCAACTTATTTGGTGGTTTTGCAGGGAAATATTCTGCTGCCCCATTCTCTTCAGTTTGTGGCGTATTAGGAGGTCATGGCTTAGGAACATCACCAAGAAATGCAATAATATTGCAGTTCAGCGTGAAGTATTTAAACGCCTAGGAAAGGTAGTGCACAACATCTGGAGTAGAATAGATCCGATGGCTTATTTGGAAGAGTTCTTTCAAGATTTTGTTGACCAAACTGCCTTCATGCAGTATTTTAAGGGTTGTTGGGTGCCAAAATTAGGTAACCTGAAGGCCATTTCTCGACTAATTTTCTCTGCTTTGTTTATTATCTTCCTCATATTCCTTACCATGTTATTCATGTTAGAAATGTGGCTTTCAACTATGAAGAGTCTACCACTGGCCAGCCAGGAGTCATGTGGAGCGACTGAAGGATATCATGTAAAGCTCAAGCTCAAAATATATGATGATTCACATCTTGATGCCCTCCAACGCGTGGACTGGTTGGTACACAAGTTGACGACCGAGCTCCATTCTAGTTACTGGCTTGATCTCTATTCAGATGAAAGTGGATCATTTCAAACTGTAAAAGAGGAATACATATTATCTACTTCATGGCACAGAGCGTTGCACATTCCTGATGACGCTGTTTCATTCGATGACAAAGAGCACCTTTTTGCAAAGGTTATTAGCCAGAAGGACAACACCCAATCTCATATTGTTTGGAATCCGGGTTCGGAGTTTGCATTTTGTGATTGTTCCTGGTCATTGCAGGGAAACTTATGCAAGCATGTAATTAAGGTAAACATGCTTTGTCAACATGAGAATTATCCACTTTCAATGTCATACCAGTCATTTCAACAGATTCTTCTGAATTTTTGGAAGACACCCGTTGATGATTCGCTCATGCTCGATCAATCAATGGCATGGGCTACACAAATACAAGACAAGATTGAAAGGTTGACGGAGCTCATGACTTCAAATAATATTGCTAATGTGGCAAATAGTTTACCATTGAAATGGGTTAGTAGAAAAGGAAGAACATCTGTTGGCAAGCCTGCGGAGGGTCCTCTTGCTCTTCCTGCTGTTCCAAAGAGCGTTCTTGCTCAGAGGAAGAAGTCCAGTAATAAGAAAAAGACCCGGAAGAGGAAGAGGTTGTCTCGAATTACTTACTACTAGTGTCATTAATCAATTTTATTGTGATGCTGTGATCGACTTCCTTTTGATAAACTTTGATACTGTTTCAATTTGTTGTCATTATTCTTTTGCTCGGAGGAGCCGTTTGCATCTATCTGTATGTTGTAGGCTATTGATCTTTTGTGTAAATTTGTTGGCATTATTCTTTCTTCAGAGGAGGTGTTTTGGATCTGTATATTGCAGGCTGTTGATCTTTTGTGAGATTAATATGTATTCTTCTGATAGCGTATTAGTCAATTCTGGTTTCATACGTCCAAATTTGAAATCTTGCAGATCACAGTTTTATCAGTGAGCTTGTTTGTGTGAATCGGAAGTCAAGAAATGCGGGCGGATATAAGTCGATAACTCTTTGACTGTCTGGTTTTTGAGCAAGCAGTTCTTCCTTGCACAATTAACAAATCTTAAGAGGGCGGGGTCTGATTCCACGGTTGTTCCTCCGACGATCAAGTCAGTGATTTGCTTGAGTGGAGAAGTGAAAAGAATTGCAGTAGTTTTTAAGCTCCAAGAGTAGTAGTAAAAGTTTACTTGTAATTAAAAATAGTACATTTTTATAGTAGGGGCATGAGGGTAGAAAGGTAATTTCCGTCGAGTATGGGATGACGACCACATTAGCCCCAACTTTACAAGTGTCGGCTGACGAGTGGAGAAGAGGTCATTTCGGTGATTAATACAAAGTGATGGGGGTGTGCGATGCCAACATGGTCCGATGTGTCATAAATATTATTGGGGGCAAAGGAATAATAGCGCTCATAATGCATTTAATGATATTTATTGCGAGGTGATTGATTATCAGTGCATAGGAAGAGGCTCGAGGCGTTTTGTTACCTTTCTACTCCCCGAATGGTTGAGAAGTACTGAGTCGTCCTCACAAGATGCCGGCCGATGAGTTGGCCGAGTGGAGTGATTAGAGAGTCAATTTAGTCAGGGGTTGATGTGCAACGCCTTTCGAGTCGTCGACATGTAACGTCTTTCGAGTCGTCAACACATGACGCCTTTTGAGTCGTCATCGCAAGATGTCAGCGTGTCAAGTGGACCAAGTTGGGCCACTGGTTGTCTTGAGATGTTGACTTCATTATGCATAATGTGGGAAATTTGGATTAGAGATTATTTTCCATCACTTGAAAGGCTATAACAATTATAATTTTTAAAATAATCTTCTAACCAATGATAAATAGTATAGATCATTCCATTCTATGGACTATTATGATTGAATCTCTAATTTTTTGGCATACTAAGAAAAAACTAGCACTATCTGGTTTTAGCGGGGTAGCTGTATATAACCCTACTGATAATTCTTCATATATTTTAATCTTTCTGGATTGTTCTATTAGTATTTGTTTGTAAAAATAAGATAGTCCCACATCAGATATTTGAGCATTCTTTTAGAAGTTCAAAAGCTTTTCATGATTATTGGGATTTGATAAATTATTAAAAGTACAAATTTCTAAACTCGCGTGTGAGTAGCGTGAATAATGCGCCATTTTGAGCGATTATTAGATGCACTTAGCACTTTACACGCTTGTCGTTGCTGCTTAAATATTCTAACTTTTTAATATATATATTTTGAATATATTATTTTTAATATTATTTTAAAATTTTAAAAATATGAATAGACAAGTGGCTGTTAAAAAGTGTCTGTTTGTTTCAAGAGGTGTTTTAAAAAGTTATGACTGTTGAAAGCACATTTTCAAACCTATAAATAGTTTATAATTTCATATATCTTAACTTCAGTTCTTTTTTAAAACTTTCCTGTCAAAAACATCTGTAATACTATAAACTTGCACAACGAATTAGTGAAAAACTCCAGATTTGCTTGATGGAATTTTTATTTTCTGTTGTATCTTGGGAAGAAAATTTGTCTTAACCCGAAACAACTTTGAATATCAAGTAGGGCAAATATTTCTTTAAGGAAAGTGTTTCATTCCTCAGAATTTCTGTCTCCTTTATAATTTTTATAACATGTTCTAGTAGAAGACATCCACCACAGAATACTCGAACATGGAGAAATTGTAGAAAGTCTGATAATATTGATCAACATAACCCATTTTGATCTAGGTCAACAAATATGTTAGAAACGATGCAAAAAAGGGAAAAACCAGTTTATTACTGAACCAAATCCCGCTAGCAATAGAAAACTCTTGGCTAATAAAATCGACTTATTTTTAAAGAAAAATTGCTTCAAGGCCTCAAAACCCAAAAAGTCATGTGCTCCAGCCCCTTCAATTATTTGTAATGTGCTACAACCTCAAAATTCTGAAAAAAAGTTTGCCCAAGCCCCTCCATCATGACTCCAGCTCATGTTTTCCTAAAAACCCAATTTTACCCCTCCCCAAAATCACTGTCATCTCCCCCAAAATCACACTTCTTCTTCCTCCTCTTCCTCCTCCGTCTCCTTCCTCCCTCCTTCCTCGCCGCAACCGCTACTCTCTCCTCCGCCGTCTCCTTCCCACCCAAAAATCACATGTTCTTTTCTCTTGTCGAAGCGGGTCACCGGCCGACACAATGACACAAAGCTCCATTTGACGGCGCAAAAGGGGGATCTCGCTGCTGTTAGGGGGATTTTGGGGGAGGTTGCTGCTTATATGACGGGGACCGGGGTTGAGTTTGATGCAGAGGTGACAGCCATCAGATCGGCGATGGTGAATGAGTTGAATGGGGGGGGGTTGGGGGATCGGGAGAGGATCGAGGAGACCGTAGAGGAGGCGATCTGGTGGCTGGAGGGGAACCAGCTGGCGGAGGTAGAGGAGTTCGAGCACAAGCAGAATGAGTTGGAGGAGGTCTGTGTGCCGTTAATCGCGAAGATGTGTCAGGGTGGTGGAGGAGCTGATAGCGTAGGGATGAATAGCGGTGGTGCTTCAGGCGGTGGTGCAGGTGGTAGCGGCGGTGGTGGTTCTGGGCCTAAGATTGAGGAAGTTGATTAAGATTTTGGTTCATTTTAGGATGGTTTTGGGTCGAGTGCTTGTTTAGTCTTTTTAGTTTGTGGTGAGTCCTACTGTTCTGTTCTAGTTCATGGGTGAATAATGTATGGTATAGCAACGAGTATTAGTAAATCAAAATTAACTTTTGTGTGTATGATGGTTAAATCACAAGAGGATCAAAAACTTGTTCTCTCTTTATGTTTGGAAGTTAGAGCTTTATTCGTGCTTCTTGTTAACCTTTAGCTATTAAGTTTTACCTAAAATATGTGAACTATAGCTGATTAGATGTTAACCTTTAGCGTTCAATGTAAAGTATAATTGCATAACTATTAATTTTTTCTTTTAAATGTTAAGTTTAGTACATAGACTGTTAAGTTTAGTACATTGACTGTTAACTTTTTTTTAAAATGTTAAGTTTTGTTAATTAACTGTTAACTTTTACCTAGTACATGTGAACTATAGCCGATTAACTATTAATTAGGAGTTGTTCCATATGGCCCCGTTTGGCAAAGGGTTAATGAAGAGGGGTTAAAGAGAATGATTAATGTACTTAGCCCATTTGATAATCCGAAGGACTAAATTATTAACCCGTTAAATAAGTTTTATTTTAGCCCTTATGATCAGTTTTAGTGTTTGGGAATAACAATGATTTTGACTATTTTCTTTATAATTAGAAGGGTTAACTCTTATTCCATCTAAATAGGAGTATTAGTAAACCCCTCATTTTGAGGGGTTAACTCATTTTAACCCCTCTAGAGGGGTTAACTTAACCCTTCTATATTTTTTATGTTTGGCAAATTATGGAGGGTTAACTCACTTTAACCCTTATATAGATTTGTTGTGTTTGGCAGGTTAAGAAGGGGTTAAGTCTCCTTAACCCCTCACTTAACCCTTTGCCAAACGGTACCTATAAGTATAATTGAGTAACTGTTATCTTTATTCTTTTAAATGTTAAGTTTTGTGTTGTACATGTGAAATATAGCTGATTAACTATTAACCTTTAGTTGTTCCATATAAAGTATAATCTGTTAACACATTAATATAGTTATCAATTTACCAATTAAGGTTAACATAGTTCTCATTTAACGTGTTAATGGATTATGTTAACATGTTACTGTAGGCTGTCTAAAAATCACAATAGATAGCTGATTCTCCATCAAACACCGATGATGGAAGTGACAATCTGACGACTTCCAGAAGGCTACAATTTGAAGACTTTCACGTAGATCGCTGAAGGTTACAATCTGACGACCTTCACGACAACCGATGAGAGCTCTAGTTTAACAGCCTTCACAATCAACATCGAGAGTTACAATCTGATGACTCTCATATATCAGAGAGCTAAAGCAAAGATTACAAAATGACGATCTTTGCAACGCTTCGACAGAAAGAGACTACAAATCGACGGTCTCTTCAAATCAAACTGTGGAAGTCCTCCCCGCACACCAGCATCAAGACGCATCGCGTTCATAGCCAAGAACGCAGCTCAAACGTAGCTTCCAAATCGCTGCAAACACAACCAAGACGCAGCTCTAATCGCTGCCAGACGCAGCTCTAATCGCTGCCAGACGCAGCTCAAATCGCTTTCCAATCACTGCGTTCAAGCTTCCAGACACTGCGTTTGGACACAGAATTCATGCTAGAATGCAGGATCTGCGTTTGACTCGTTCAAACACGAGCTAAACGGTTCCAAAACCGTTTCCCACGATCTGAGTGGATCACAACTCCACTCAGGAGTGATTTAAGGGGCGGTTACATCCCATTAGCCCCACTTAGGAGCGAATTAAGGAGGTGGTTACACCCCTTAATCCCCTATAAATAACTGAAAATCAATTCAGTTCAGGTTCGGTCGGTGGGGACTCCTTGGCAGCAGAGGCTGGATCTTTCGGGAGCGGGCTGTTGGAACTTCTTGGCTAGTCAACAGGATCCTTAGAGCATTTCTGGAGCTTTAGAGATCGGCAACAAGATCTTCTTCATCCTTGGCTTATAACCGACTTTCGGTTAAATCAACTCTTTCATAGAGTTTCAAACTCGTTCAGAGTTCTCCACAACGTCAAATCGTGAGGAGAAGATATCGTTCCAGTGAAACAAGACATCGGATCGTCAACGAGAAGCAAGCTCGACGCGAGCATTCGAGGGAGGCATCTCATCGCCACCGTGAAGAACCCAGAATTAAACAAAGGGGAGAATCCAGATCATTCTTTTCTCTTTTGTAATCAGGAAAATCCAATTGTAACTGAGATTAAAGGAATACAAATCAATTTTCCTTCGTTTTTTTACTGCAAATTTTTCCACAAACAGTTACTCAATCTGTTTATATATAATAGTTAACATAGTTAACATGTAAGCTGTGATAGTTATCAGTTTATATATAAACAGGTTAAATCAAAATGTTAACATAGCTACATGTTAGCTATGTTAACATTTTAATTTAACCTGTTTATATATAAACTGATAACTATCACAGCTTACATGTTAACTATAATATGAACGCATGTTAAATGTAAAAACTACCATGTTATCAGGATAAGGGTGTTAGTTAACAGATTACAAATAATAGTTAACGTATAATAGATTATAGTTAACAATTTACTAAATATAGTTATCAATTTAGCATCCAAAGTTAACATGTTATCAGTATAACTTAACAAGCGAACTGCGAAAGTTAACATGTTATCAGTGTAACTTAACAAACGAACTGCAAAAGTTAACATGTTATCAGCTTAACTTAACAAACGAATTACGAAAGTTAACATGTTATCAGTGTAACTTAACAAGCGAACAAAGAAAGTTAACATGTTTCCGATGACATAACAGATAACATATATTCTTTATATACTTGTACAATGATGACTGATCCAATCAGTACAAATACTAAACATACATTGAGCAAATATACACTTTGCACATTCATAAATATTTCACATAGTCCAGAGGAGGAGAAACTAATAAACTCTTCAATAAACTCTTCACTCTCAATTTCTTAATTTCTTCTAATAAAACTTATTTATATATTAGTAATAAACACAATCTTCACCGACACGTCACCATGCGTCAAATGCTTCAACGCTCTCTCTGGTCAGCAATCGTGACCCCCAACCGGAAATTAACCTTCGCCGACGTCGCTGAGAACGACGGCGGAGTCGTCGGCGCTGTCGACAAGCAAAAAGTCGAGTTTTTTGAGCCATAATACATGTCCAAAAGCTCATCAAAGAGTTTTTTGAGCAAACAAAGAGTTCAATAGCTCATCAGATTCCAAAAGCTTAACACTACATAAAAACAAAGCCATAGTACATGTCCAAACTCCATATTACAGCAAAAAGTTGAGTTTTTTGAGCCATTTCATCAAACAAATAGCCACACATACTCTAACATAATTACCCAAAACGCAAATTTTTTTTCTCCACCGAAGCATTTCGTCAAGCACCAGGTTCGCCCTTTTGCTTATTCACAGAAAACCAAAACAAAAAAATCATCAGCAAAAAAAGGGGAAATTCGCTCCTAAAATGCAAAAA